ACAATGAGCAACGATCATTCTTCGCTGTATGTACAGGCATACGCTTTAAACACATGCACCAATTCCTAGAAACGTAACTGAACGCAAGCATATTCCTTATATAGTCACGGTTCAAGAACGAAGCAAATATTTCAATAAGAAAACAAACGTTTAATTCTAAATAGCACAGAAATATGAAAATATATTACTACAAAACATAAAAATGATTTAAGATGAAGTCTACCAAACACAATTCTTATTGAAATATTTCTAACATTATTCAAAATCAGGCTTACCTAATATTACACCTGTCGATAACATAACCTGTTAGTAACATAGCCAATGGGCCAAACTACTGGAATAAATCAAACGTCTTTAGTACACATATAGCATTTAATTACTCTATTTATACAGCATAAGATTAACAATATTCATAAACTATATCAAATCCAACAATCACTGCCTATACCTTTTTCGATGGTACTAACGCTATTAACAAGAGAGAGCAAAACGTTTAATGAACGATTATTTTTGAATTCAGCTATTTGTCGATAGAGCAATGAGTACATAACGTCCAACACTTCATTATGTAGGAACTCGATTGAGCGACGGCGTCAGTCGCGTCGGCCGCATCGCTCGCGTCGCATGAAACTTCCCTCGAGTCACTCAAGACACTGTGACTTCGCTCCCGTACCACGACTTCGTGGTACCACTCTATCATAAGTGAATTTGTAACGCCGACAACTTGATGCTAGTGTCAATGTAGCGATTCCAACAATCGCAATAGTTAACGATGAAGTGGATACATGATGATTCCAAGATTAAAATATCGATAAGCTTTATTTAATATTTTTAATAACGAATTCATATTGTATCATCACCATCAATAAAATGTTCTAATAATTGACCAAAGGTATTGCTAACAGCAACAATATACGAGACAACTGCTTTGGTCTTATCCATTATAAGTACAATAAGTTTACATACAAACTTTAATCGATAGATATATATCGTTACGAGTTCATAAGTTACGTGTTACCAGTGATCACTAAATACCAGATTATATGACATACGTTGTAAATATACAACAATCAAGCTGGGTACATTTTAGAGTAGAGCATAAACGTTAAATACGCATCGTCGCTACTGGAGACGGGAAGAGAATAGACGAGCGTGTCAAAGTTCTAAACTACTGTAACACCTAGACACTGACGTGAGAGTACATGTTGCAACGACTGTTCCTACGCAGCTAGTTCTACGCGACATGGTGCGGCAACATCAACAAATATATCTTGTCTTTAAATAGTGTACAAACAACTCTAGCACATTACAAAACAATATGATATGCTCGTAGACTCCCGGCTCACTCCGGGAGCCTGTAATGCCCTCCGCGAAACAACTCAACTACGTAATCCCAATATACACCTATATTAAGCCACTGAATGTAACATTTACAATTAATCGTAACATAAAGTTAATTACATCATAAGTAAGTATAATTAAAGTAATGCGCAATGCGCGGCGCGCGGCGTTTCGCGCTCCAATGTATGTTTGCATTGTTACATAATCAAGCGCTGTGAGACAATACTTCCTTCACAGTTAATACTGAACAATTTAGTCATTATAAAATTTCGACGCTATACAAAATTTTATTGTTGTTAATATCTTTGGGTAACAACCCTAATTAAATAATTATAACCTAAATTCCATTACATAAAGCAACATGTTTGTAAGCGTAGATTAGTCTGCAAGTGGTCAATGATTGCATATTACATTAGTTAGGTTATACCTGTTAGTTGCATTGCAACACTTGCAAACATAATCTCACTTGTACCGAAATATAATCACTGGAATGTACACAGAATATTATGCCACGATATTGGTAACATAATATCAATTGCTAGAAGAGTATTTCAACATTATTTTTAATTCATCATCATTATTATTATTATAAATTGTGTGATCTCCGTGATTTTGAGCAAAAATAATGTTTGTGATCAATAAGAGTTTAATATATTAATAAATTATTAAGATACATACAATTATAAACCCTACGGTAACGTTGGTTATGTATCACAAGCGGAGTCGGTGTGCAGCGCACGTGTTACACAGGCACATTGGAATACATACAGTCGGACGAAAGCAATGTAACACAACACTGCAGTCTATACCCATGTACAAGAGGTTTAGTTCACACTAAACGGTCAAGCAGTTAAACAATGTGCTCTGAAAATGCTTGGACAAGTTAACACGTAAAACATTATAAGCAATAAAAACTTTACATGATAAAACATCGCTTATAGTTTCGACAATAACTCGTAAACAGTAACTATAACATACATTTCGATATATAGATTAAAAATGTGTATAAGCGATGTTTTAAAACAAACATATTGATGCGTATTCATTAATTTACAGGAGTTTTCCATTACATCAAGGAGAAAAGTTACTGATGGACAGACGTCACTTGTAAAAACGTGGTCACTTCGGATAAATTCGCATTTCGTATACTTAATCCTAAAACAAATAGCTACTGGTTCACACATCGTGAGTCATAAGATCATTAATGAGTAAATCATGTGATAGATTACTATCCATGTGATGTATGTAGGGCAGTGGGAGTAACATTGATATGTCCGTGAGACTTTACATGTATAGAAGGAATGTCTACACTGATATGTGTTGTCAGGTGATCGGAGACAGCGGCTGGTCGAAGTGACGACGTTTCCTACAAAGTTTGCGTACATAACATAGAGACGTAGGACAACATTGTCGTGTTTACTTGAATCTGGCGAAGGCGGAGCTAAGTTCGTTGATGGCGGCGTTGGTGACGGCCTGGCCGACCGCCTGGTTGACCTGCTGTCGCATATGAGGCGGCATCTGGTTCATCACGCCGGCTACTGAACCCGCTGGCAGTCCACCTCCAGGCCTCCTATATATTTCATTACGAATATTTCCTTGTCAAAAATGATTAAAACAAACACGAAGCAAATGTGATGGGGATAGATTGATATAAAGAATCCTTTGTGCATCCATGAATATGTTTAGTAGAAAGGTACAGCAACAGTCAAATATGGAACATTAAACATAAGGAAGAAAGAGACAGAAAGTGCTAAGTAACAATAATATCAAATTGCTCTAAAGCTGTCACAGCTTCTCTGTAAGACATTTCGGAGTAACGTAACCGCCATAATAATGCAATGCAATAAAAATATTAAATTAATCTGACATACAACTCTTACAGGGTAACTGTGAATGAATCAGTAACATACATCACTAATCAACTACACAATATTACACTTCGTCGAGAGTATTTTACAAAAAATTACTACATTTATATTTCACAGTAGACATATTTTTTATTCACACGGCACGAGCACGGATATAGTTATACTTAACTTTGAGTTCCCATTTAGAAGTAGATACACGACCAAAGAAAAACAATGTGAACTATTAATAATCACGAGGATCACACAAATTAGTGCCAAAAAGCATGCGGTGCTTCGATATTGTTAACACATTGCAAAAATGAATCTAAACTGATTGTAATAAAACATGTTTTGTTAATCAAACCAATAAATCCAAATAAAATCATTGTTAGCCTCTCCTTCAACTTGTTCTTATTATAGTCACACGAATATTATTGAAGGTAACTCTTGCATAGACATTTATTATCATAATATTATAACGGATACTGTTTACGTAGAATATGCATCGGTCTGCAGGCAGCCTGCACTGTTCGATGAGTACACAACCAGTTTCATCAAAAATATAACATTCAGAAAGTTTATTACACATTATGGAATAAAAATAGACATCTAAATAAAACGTTTAACGTATATTAAAAAGGTTCGTTTAACGAAAGGCTGCCCGCAGAGGATTCATAAACAGAATATAATTTATCTTTAATTTGTATTCTACCAAAAGGTAATAAATTCCACTATTATTTTAATAATTTTATGGAAGCAACATTTTTTTCATACGTATCATAAGTATTGATCATTTACATGACTAATAATAATATTGTATATAACATATGTATAATTTATTTATAAATTTGTCGATATTTGTTAACTTACTACAATCTCGTCACTGATCCAAGGTTCTTAGACGAAAAACAAGAAATGGATCTTAGAGATAAGAAATTATTATCGGTATGTTCAGTATTGAACAATAATAAGGTAACGTTACGGTAAACTGGGGCAGTTACACAGATGTCAACGTGTAATAAGTTAACAAGTTCGTAGTTAGTGCCTTACGTCGATACGTAACTTATGTTAGTGAGTTAGTGCGCACGCGCCGGGCCGCTTAGCGCCGCCTGCGAACACATACACACAACTCAGCCTCTCCGGTCATTTGGATTAGTACTACACCCCCACACGAGTTAATGGACACAACCCGGCTGGTTAGATCTATTTCACCCAAACCATTAGTTCCCTGTTTATGGATCTTACTGTAACGTGCACAATTCATAAATAGACTAAGTAATTATGTTAATATATATTAAATATATTATATATCAGTATATATTATAATATAAAGCTCAATACGTTTACTGCAAATTATGGCTGTTACATCACCCACACAAATGCCTCCTATAGTACTTGAAGCAAAGCTCACACATTGAAAGTGCAGCGGCGACGGGAAGCGCCACTATCATATTTAAATACTTCATACTGATACAAATTACTTCAAAATAGAGAACAATCATCACGTCCATGGTGAGTGCTCTATAACTCCAAACAAATATGGCGACCTACGTAACCCCAGACCATGTACTGTACCGAGCTCTAAAAACAAATGCACAATAGACAGTGAGGATGGATAGTCTCCGTATCAACTCTACCAACAAATTATGAAAAGATATTTTAAAAAAAATTTCGTATTTTCATCAATTCCCCATACTATTTTAACTAACATTATAATTCTGTTTTGATTATTACCTATTACACCAATGCTAAGTACAATCGGAGACCACCCACAACATTAATCAATGGGTATTATTTTCATAAGTGTACTTACGTGGGCACAAGTGGCGCTGGAAGGCCGGGCTGGCCGGGCGCGGGGCGCACGGAGGGCGGCGGCGGGGCCCCGCCACCTGGACGCGACGGCAGCGGGGGCGCGGGCCGGCCTGAACCGCCGCCAGGGGGAGGCGGCGCGCCACGACCGCCTAGTGACCCTAGAATATCACCACCACCTTTACTAGACGTGTTCGCCTTTCAATAATCAAATAAGCAGTCTATACACTGCCGAAACTAAAATCACTATAATGTGTTAATATGGCCTTAAAATCCTCTATGAATCTTTGATCAAACATCATAATAGTACTTGATCTGCCTTTAATCTGTTGAACGAGAAAAGGCGACACGTCATTTGATACACAAAACAATCACATTAGGCCTCGTGACAACATTAGGTCAACTATAATGTGTACAATGAGTATATCATTATTGCTACATAGTATAAAACAAAGTCGCTATCAGCCGTCTGTCCCTATGTATGCTTAGATCTTTAAAACTACGCAACGGATTAAGATGCGTTTTTTTTTTTCAGGAATGTTTATATGTATAATACATGCATATTGCACCGTGCGAAGCCGGGGCGGGTTGCTAGTAATGTTTAAAAGTAAATTCTGGCAAGATAATGACTGTAACTCTTTAGATACCGATAGGATTTCTTAATATCTCCATTTAAAGCTAATTGCTAATCAAAATACCAAAATTCTTTCAACTCTCACAAAACTGGCATATTTTACTAATGTACTGACCTTGCTGCGCAGGCGCAGCTCTGCGTGGTCCGCCAGGGGAGGGCGGCGACAGTCGCGGGTTGGAGTCCAGGCGACTCTCCAGCCAATCGTTCTTTACAGGTGGAGGAACAGGCGTGCTCACTGTTGCCATAGAAACGTCCCAATGATCCGCAAGGCTTCTTTGCAAGCGTGGTACATGCGCAACATCTCTTCGCGTTTGAGAGCTTCTTCTGGAGACTCTTCCATCATTTGTGACTGTGAAGAAAAAGCAATTGTTAAAAATTCCGATTTAGTAAACAGAAAGTTTACTAAAAAATACTGATTAAGATCAAACTCTTACTTGATCGCCAGAAGCATATAGATGTGCAAGCAGCTCTCCGTTAATGAAGTCTTTGGCATTATTGATGATCATCATCATGATGGTCTTGGGTACGAGATCTCGTGTCGTCTTCGTCACGATGCGCATGTAAGAGTCGACCAAGTTCCTGATGGTCTCCACCTGTCTCTCGAGCTGAGGGTCCATGCTACTTGTGCCTGAGCTGTCCGAACTCTGCAAACAGAACGTTCTTCATGCAACAATAATGTTCAATTTAACTCTTACATTATCATCTTGGAGCGCCAAACGGACAACACAACGGCGATCACCGTCAAAATCATTAAACAATGTTGCCAAATCCCATGTTTGATCATTTCCAGCCAAAAAAATTCAAACGACGATAAAACATATTTGCCATATTTTTTTTTACCTTCGGAAGCACAATTCCCTCCACATAACAGTCTTTAATACAGTAAGAAAAATCTACAGCATTTTACATTGTTTCTACCGCATCAAACTCCAAGCTTGGTAGCTTACAAAACAGTAAATTGCTACGAATAAAGATAGATAAATATAACGGTTATTATTGTAGCAAGGTTCGTGATTATCGCAGATGATTGAAGCGAGGCCGAGAGAGACACATGAGACGAGACGTAGTACGGCTTTGCCAATCAATACGAGTAGTCGAGTTTGTTAAAATAAATTATAGCACTCCAAACCAGTCTGTAATTAGTATCGAAATAGACTTCAAAGAACATGCAAAAAGGTAACACGAAAGGAATTCTTGAAAAGAACTTGCTTGCAGGAATTTTGTTTTCTATGCAGTATAATATCTTTTTACACTGTACCAACATAATAGATATAACGTGGTATAAAAATTTAATGTTTAAAGAAGTTCCTGGATATAAAACTGATAATATGGGTATACTAGAAATAAACCTTACTTCAACGGTAATTTCTTACTACTTTTTGCTTCACCTGATCATATTAAAATAACGAATTTAACAAGGCATGCCTAATCTTCCTACTTCATTAGTAATCGATAATGCACTGTTTGTACAGTTGATATAAAGCATATTTTGTAATGGCATGCTTTACCTATAATGACTACGAGCAGTGTTAGTATGGGGAGTTAAAAATAAACAAGACTATCTAAGGACAATAGCTACGAAAATCAACCGACATTTTGCTTAAATTTGATGAAGTGTTTCACACTACAGTACTCACCCAGCAACGCCCCGCCCACAATATTTCACGAACCAATGACATTGGTGCTAGGAATAACATTCACAACCAAATGACCAATACCAAGGCGATCCCTTAGATTCACTTTGCAATTAATACTTTGAGCATCATTTGTAAGTAATTAATTGCACATGCAACAATTGTTTATGATACAAATTGCTCTACCGCCTAAAATCGCACATCACCCTTATAAACAGTTCAAAAATCCAGCAAACAAGCTTTAAAATACGAGTCACTTACTCTTTTATTTTTTCCACCCATACCACTGGAAGGCGGAAAAAAATAAAAAAACATAAACATGCTAAAACAAAATTGAAATAAACTTCCACAATACATATCTTGAATATTAACATAACGAAAGTGAAACTGTTCATATACTTGCAAATATGCTCAAACAAACGAAGCACGACATTCAGGTGTTACTCCTACTGGTATAAACAGATGTGGCACTTTGTTGTCATGTTATTACATACAGTTAGTTAGAGTGGGTGGCGCAACTCATGATGATGAAGTGCATGTGACACTACCAAAAGACAAAACAGCACTCTACACGTCTCATGCTATCGGCTGCAATGTATTTCAAGAAAGTATTTACAACCACCATTAAGAACAATGGTTACTACAACATATTACTTCAGTTAGTTATTCTTGATCCACATCGGGGGAAGTGTTAATGTGCGACCACCGTGTCAGTGTGATCTATGTACTTGTGTAATGTTTCGTAAGCCTGTATAAACAAACCTCGGTTCCTTCACTCTGAATAGCATGGCAAAACAACAGATTTTATAACATAAAATCGGAATATTATATATTAAAATATATAGTTAAATTCACATTTTAATAAACACCATTGATATTATAAAGCCATATATTAAGGAAATAAGCTCAAAGTAAAGATAAGTTATGTCTGCAATAGTTTAAAGGTGGGGGAGATATAAAGGGGAAAAGAAAGATTGGAATAAGACAGGCAGTAATAATATTGTAAATTAAAAGTGAGGTTACCTCGTCTCCATTGGCTGCTTCGGAGGTCTTCTCTGGGTAGACTCCGGCGCGGAGGAACGATGCCTTCCATGAGTCGACATCATCTTGTGTCTCACATGACAACTCGAGTTGTTTGTAATCCTGGAAATAGGACGACAAAAGAGTATTAGTATGTCGTTCTGTCATGACCAAAGAGTACCAACTACATGCTATTAACTCGTGGAGTACCGGTTTTATAGACACAATTAAAGAACAATAGGTCGCGGTCACCGGTGACCACTTGGTGTTTGACAGTTTAAAGTTAGGGGTTATGGTTTATTACGTTTAGGGGGTTATGGTTTATTGCGTTTGATAATTTTTTTACAGGAAATTAATTTAAAATTAAATTATATTTGAATTGTTATTAGATAATACTACTTTAGAAAAAAAAACATTTTTATTATTACCATACCTTGTAGACGTTCCTGCCCTCAGGGTTGAAGAGTGCGAACATGTGTCGGCGCGACATGAATCCCTGTTCCAGATCCCTCAGTTTCAGACCATCCAGAGGTAGCATATACTTCTTCTCTCGCTCCTCTTCGTCTTTGAACCAGGAGATGCTCTCAGCGGTCAGCACAAACCAGTAATCTTTGGAACCACCTGAAGAAACGACCATGAACCATTACAACTTGTTTTAAGAAATACCTAAGAAGGTAGTAAAACAAAGATTGGCCTAAAGAAATTATAAGTGCTGAAGATTTAAAACCTTCTTACCTTTCATTATACCCAAGTTGTGGATGCACATGTATCCTTTCCTGATGACTTGGTTTCCTAACGCGCGATGTCCTGACTTTGTTGAATTCTCAGACTGATTTTGAGCACTGTAACATTAAATGTCCATTATAATTCCTTTGTGTGATATTTATTCAGTGCAATTGTTATTTGAACACACGAAAGGAATATTTTTATCCTGGGTACATTTACGTAGTTCACATAGGATATAAATGTATTTAACATTTCTCAAAGTTTCAAACCATTTACCTTAATTAAAAACAGACGCAAAAATGCATGCATGTAAATATTATACAGTATCAATAAATAGGTTACTTGGCAAATCCAATGAAGTCCTCGTGGTTGGTGTTCATGTAGGCGAGCTCGCAGTCGATAAGCAGCACCAGTTGGTCCTTGCACATTTGTTCGCGAGAACGAACGTAAGACATTATAATGCGCTCCGTCTCCTCACGCAACCTCGGGTATCGGGACATCTGGAAAGTTAAGAAATTAGTCAGTAAAAAATATTTAACTAAGAGTTGCATGACCACATGCATTATTGTGATCGAAGCTAGGAAAATATGTAAGGTATTCTATATAATTTGGAAGACAAAAAAAAAACCGAAAATATTACATTTAATATGTTAACTATTTATCAGTTTTCTGTCAACAGTAAAAGCCTTAAGGCACAAAATGTAGTACTTACCCTTTCAGTGCAAATGCGAACAACATTAGACAGTTCAGCCACAACGAGATCGACGCATTTCAAACTGGGTTCCTTGAGTCGCGCGATTTGTTTCTTTACAATAGCTTCGAACGCCATGTCGGGAGTGAACAAGCCCACCTGTGGACACACATCTTATTAGTCATTACTAAATATCCACAATTTACTTTTTGCCAGTTAAGACATTATTAACTTTTGGTTTGCCAGGAATATCGAATCAAGACACCATATTTTTTTATTGTATCTCATGTCAGCGGCAGTCTAGATGTTAACAGTTATCAACACTAAATGGATGGCACTTACCCTAATACCGTGAATATTCCTAATAGCGAAGGCGATCTCCCTACGCAGTTCCTTCTCGTCGAATTCCATTTTGACAATCTCGAATGGGAATCGTTCGTGGAACAACCGATTGATTTTAGCACCACCCGATAGTTCGTTTGTGTTGATCTGTGCAGAGCCAGAACCTTCTATTGTGCGTTCAAAGTCTGTTTGCAACTGCTGGATCATTCTGAAATTAAAATTCGTAACTTTATATAGCTTTTTGGATTTCTAATTCAACTAAAAACCCGTGTTATTTTTATAGGAATGTAGTTCTTATGACCACTATTATAAAGTTCATTAACTTTACTCACTGCAACATAGCCTTAGTCTTGATGGAAGGATCATCAGGTCTGAAGTGTTTGTACTGATCGACATCTTTCTCCAGTGTGAGCAGTTGCTTCTGCAGCTTGTCTCGGAGGCCGGGGAGAGTATCCCTGATGTGATTGGTCAGTTGCTGGTTGAGTACACGCTGCAGATAAGGGGTACCAAGTCGGTCCGCCAAATGTCGGTATGATGGATGGCTGTAAAAAAATGAAATTTACCATCATTTACTTGGCCCCATGGGTGAAGACAAAAACTACCAAGCACCCCTACTACGATCCTCATAAAATTCTCTAGATTAAATCACATTCATGGATGTCTTCATACGCCAGTTAGGTAAGAGTAAATACTCCCTAAGTCCTTCACTGTATCCAATTGATAAATCCTCTCAGCTACATATTAATTTAAAATTATACAATTCGTTCGTTCAAGGAGTAAAGGAAAAAAAAAATATTATACTCAGACATTGTCTTTATCATTAAGCGACTTAGCTAGCACTTTAGTTTATCATTGTTTACATAACAATTATTTTGGGTACATCCTTCATCGGCCTTCTTATTATCGATCATTTGTTTGATAATGTTTTTCTGTTAGTCATACAATGCAATGCATCATAGCATAACGTAACACAATAATATTAAAAAAGTTTTTTTAGAAACTAATTTACTAAGCCGATAAAATAAGTAGTTATCTTCTCTCGCAAATTACAAATGCAATCGACGTACGAAAGTAGGTCAGCCCGATAGTCGAGAGCGACCTATATGTCTATGTCAGATATACCTATGTTGCAACTCCTCATACAGTATACAAGTACCACTTGGTTAGCCCAACGTCGTTGTTTACACTCGAATTCGATGTATTCATTACCCGTACGTCATTGAGGAAAATATGAGTCATTACAGCCAGTTCCTAGGTAATAATGATAACAATGTGATTTCTACTTAATTGACAACTGTAGTTTTCGGCCTATTATTAAATTATATTTAAATTACTATTAAAATAAATTTAGAATTAGCGGTTTTTTGATCACTCACAACCTATTATAAAGTTCCTCGTTCGGTTGCTGCCTTAAAATTGGTTTGTAGCGTCAAATACATACCTAAGGAAGAACTTCCTCTCAGCTGCCAAGGCAGCGGTGATGTCTTTGCGGCCATCAATGTCCTTCTGTGATCGGTTAACGACACCAATGTAACCGCGCCGGAGAGGCAACAGCTTATTCTCGAGCACATCTCGGGCATCCGTGCCTTCATCCATCAAATCTAACTTCGTAATCACACCGATCGTACGAAGACCTGCAGTTAGACCGAAATATTTTAGCGTAAATATTTGCGTTCTTCAAATTTAGAGACTCCGGATTTAGCGAGTTGGTAGGTACCTAAAATTATACTCGGCTGCTGTTATAAAAAGCATATTATAATGAAAAGTTGAACGAACTTCACAGACAAACTGCAGGGGTTTCATAATTTTGTTCGTTTTAAAATGTAGGTACTTATTCAGCTAATGCACATGAGTCACCGACAAAATAACCGAGTAGGCTACATATATTGTATGTATTTGTACGACTGGCAGACATCATTACGTAGAAGTCAATCATCGTCATATTCGTCAGACTTATTCAGCTGTATTGGGTGTTTTAAGTTTAATAAACAATGACTCATAATTATGATTGCAATTTTAGGATGAATGTAAGTGAACTAGCCTTGAGGGTCGACTTCTTTTGCAAGTTTCAAGGCATCGCTGTTGGCCAAATCTGTGTTAGCGGGGGTGACGGCGAGGATGAGGCAGGACTCCCGTCTGATGAACTGGAAGATCATTCCCTTGATCTGTTGTTCGATGTCTACCGGCTGGTCACCAATGGGCACTTTAGTCAAACCCGGCAAATCAATCAGGGTCAAGTTGAGCACTGGAAATAAAATTACACACGTTTTCAATGACTACATTCTCTTTTTAGCTATTCTTTATCCTGTAATTGTGCATATGGAAAACCGCAAACATGTATATGAATGTCCCTACAATAAAATATCATAAACCACATTAAAGTTCACTGACAGAAAGTATGACATAGATAGTTACTCAGCGTAAATTGACCTATAAACCCGCTGTCCGTACCAAAATATTTTTTCTTGCTGATTCTTAAATAAATAGTGAGTAAGTTGCATACGTTAGGAGGCGCGAAATGTTGTTATTAATGAATAACACAAGGTCATTGTTATCGCGCAATAATAAGCATTGCTGTTTAACAACAAAATCAAATGTTTTTAATAATAATACACAGATAATAATAAAATTTGCAGCTTATTGACTTTGATAAAAAGTCATGAACCCTTGAATGAAAATAATGGCAGCATAAATATTATAGTAGATTTAACTTTTGTATTCTTCGGACCATAACATATTGCAGCATCAAATTTCATAACGCATTTAGCATGTAAGTAGAGAGTAAAACAAACATTTCATGAGAGCTGTAACGATCAGTTAAATAGATAATATTGTATTGCATTGCATGATAAGGATAGATAAGGAAAGATTTATGCTATGTATTCTTTGATGGTTTCTTGGCAAACTTGACAATCGTCATGTCAACCAAGGGTAATGACAGGCACTTAGTCAACAAACACAATGCGACTCTTCATAAAGGACCTATTCCATTGGTCCTTATTGTAACCATAGTCTCTCTATGGTTGCGCGTCTGGTCGTACCTTTATGAAGAGTCGATCTATATACCGAGAGACACCAGAACAATCACGAGAGTCAATTTAGTCATCGACAATTAAATGGTTGGGCAACTAAGACACCAGGTGGACCTAATGAAAAACGAAATTAGGCTCAAACTCTAGTCTCTAAGTAGCATAATTATGTTAACATTTACAAGTGAACATTCGTGTATTATATACTTCAAATTTAATGGCGTACTGGGTAGAACTCGTGCCTCCTATGTATGTACTTAAATTTTACTTAAACATATTCCAATGACTTTAATTATATAAATGTGTTGTTCTGTGCTCTATGTGTGGAGGTGCATAAATAAATAAATCTTCATGCATTTTAGATTAAAATCTCGCCACACAATAGGTACGTATGTGTGCATAATATGATTATCACTGCTTTATTGGAGAATTATGTTGCTACAGTAATTATTACTCTTGTAGGTTTATAGGCAAGAGTATATTGCAGAAGAAAGTCACAGGCTTGGGTATATTGCTGCACAATTTAAAATAAGTACTTTTTTTTTTTAAGGGGGGAAGATCATCGAATGACTGCTCCCGCCTGGGTGAGGCGGAAGGGAGTGTCAGACTCTTACTGACTAAAAACCACCCCGTTCCTTCTCCTGCACGTCGAGCCGGAGCCCCGGTTACCCGTTAGGTTCTCCGCGACAAAATAAGTACATTAGGACATTAAAAATAAAACATTTTTAATTCATTTTCTGCACCAGTTTAACACCATTTTTCGCCAAAATTTGTTTAAGATTTCGTCACAAAACATATACATTATACCTACAAATTCATAATAATTTAATAACCATAACATTTATTTGAAAATATCCTTTGCACTGTTTTGGTACAGTATGTAAATGTACCTTAATAGCTACCAAATTCCAGTCTACACATATGTTTACATTATTCCATTGTAAAGAGTTTATATCGGTGAAGAACAACTGGACATTAAAGAACCATTAGTTATGTAGGTCATTATCAAACTACGTATGGAATAACAAGTGAGCAATGTTTTAATAGAGATTGCATAATTAAGATGACTGCACACGCATCACTACTAGGTGTATTGCAAAACATTACTTCGGTGTTTTTTTCTCTTCATATATGAAGTGGAAGAAATATATATTGGTCTAGTAGTATATTTAAGGAAATATTCATGAGTGAACTTATGAATGAACGTTCAGTTATAGTTTAGCCAGTGAACATTGAAACATAATTCCATATTGATAAGGGTGTGTCATATAACATTATCAATTAAGCGGCCATTGTCTTATCTAGAGCGCGATTAACACTGACTCATTTATTTATAACCAAGAGAAATCTTTGTCATACAACAGGTTCACATTTTTACGCGATGAAAAAACTGATAACATTCACTATCGATGAACAGTTTTATCGATATATTCTTAGGGAATCTTTTATATCTGTGACACATGATAAATCTTAAAAAAAGACCCGTCGATTGTATGAATAAGATAGAAATCTACGTAGAACAATTTATATGAAACAAAGCTTCAATGAATTGAAAATAATTATCGTATTTTCGTTAAAACGAGTTGTATCGTAATAAAATAGTTATCTATTTGTAACTGCGCCATACAAGAACCAATGTACTATTAGATACCCATTTTGTTAAGTGGGATCTTATTCAGCTCTGTCAAAGGTGAGCATCGTGGCCTTGCCTTATTGATCTCATGACGCTTCAATACTCCACTCGACTTTAAGATGTTCTTTCAAGAATTTCTGCCGCCACAATATATCTTGATTTGAGGACAGAGCCGACATTAGGCTTAATATTGTGTAGCGTTTCAGTACCCTGACGTAAGTATACTCCATTCAGTAAATACCTAATACAATACCCACAAAATTCATGAATTTTAACCGGCAATGCTCTGCTTTGTCGTCGCTCTGTCGTTGTTGCTAGATATGCTATCGAAGTGTCACATATTTGTCGGCCAATGACTTCATAAAATTGACAATCTATAACGTTACGCATGCGTGCCAAGATGCTTCCGGTTCCAACCTATTTTAATTTTAGTGCGTCTCTTGATATGTAGAACACATAATTATGAAGGTTTATGGTCTCAGATTATGTAATATCTGGTCAAGTTAATGCTCTTGTCGCTCACGGCTTAATCTCCCAGAAAGAGGATAAAGCTTGCAGCAAACACACTCGGTACATACGGGCCTATAATGTATTAAAAGAGCTAACATACCACAAATAATGTGGATACAAGTATACAACTTACCATTTGGGGAATAAACACGCAGATTAATAGGAACTGGCGATATGCCCTTGTTAGAGCCAGTGATACGGTCTGTCTCTGCCTCAATCTCTGCACGTACTTCATTGAAATCAACAAACTTCTTTCCTTTGCAATGCAGGAACTCCGCATATTCTAGGGAGATAAATGAGAAAACACAGGGTAAATTATTTACTCATAAATCTATTGGATATGTAAACTTATAGATACATAAATACGCTCACGCTTTACAGTAGTTATTATATACAAAAAATGTACGGCTTCTTAGCGTGCAAAATACCGGACGAAATCTGGTACATGTCAAGACAGATGGCTGCCTACATTGTGATCACTAACCATCTGCTTCATTCAATGAATACATTCCAAAGTCCAAAATACTATGTAGTCTCTATTACTTAAAACATTAAGAACATTTTTTTATAGAAACGGTGATCTATTTTTATAACGGCTAAAAGTTATCAGTCATTAAGTACGGATACCACGAAATGTAAGGTCCCGATCATGCGGAACGGAAGGCTAGTGACCTATACGTGACCGGGAAAAAATATCAGAGCCTATCACAGCATTACATTGACCAAAACCGGCAATTTATTGTTCTGTACAACGACGACCCATCTTAACACATTTACATTGTGAATTTTGACAAACTCATAACAGTAATAGAGTTTATTAGTAAGCCAATTAGTTGTTTTAACATTCGGAATACGCCTGAAGGTTAATGATCACATTTTGCACAATAATGAACTACATCACAGCCTGTTAGCTGAGTATAAAATAACGTAGTGAATGTTATTTCTCCTCTAAGAAGAAACATTGTTACTTATTGTTCTAAAAAAAATATAATACCTGTGTTTCCATGTATTAGCTGAAGAATCAATGGACGCCGCGTTACTATTCCGGAGCCTCGAGGCAGAAAGTCCCTGAAACAAGAATAATTTTGTAAAAATGTGGACTTCTTCTGGCTACTAACCATAGAAACCAATACAACAACAATAAGATAATTATTTCTCTAAAATACTGGTTTAATAGGAACTAACACTAGTATTTTAACCATTCAAAGTAATTCCTGCTTCAAAGTAGTTTCTAAGAACCAAAAAACCGAAGACAATTCACATCGAAAATTAAACATGAAGAAGTTGATGTCATCGTAATTTACCCAGATATGATCATAGTTGCTGTGATAAATGACTCATAGAGATGAAATAATAACAGTGATTTTCTAAACAAACACCTGCCCAAGGAATAGTTGCTAAAATAACTATTTAAGATTTTGTTCCATGCAATGATTTGATTTGTTTACTTATATCTTCTAGGATAACTATGTATTAGGAAATATTTCAATCTAAACATTTTTAACATAGCAAATAATATACAGCAAATATTCGCTTACTTTACTTACAGGTTTCTATACAAATAATAATTTTTTTTAAGGGCGAAAATCTACAAATGACTTCTCCCGCCTGGTTGAGGCGGGAGGGAGTGTCAGGCTCTTACTGACTAAAAACCCCCTGTTCCTACTGCTGTACTTCGAGCCAAAGCCCCGGCAACTCGTTAAGTCATCCGTGGCTCCGTATCGACACCAGCCCTATTGGGCCCCATCCATGGTTTATTTTAGACATTAAAGATCAATACTGACAAACAAAACTTATCAAGATTCACAGAAAATGAATTTGTTGTGTTATAATCTGTTGAGTATGATATTATGATAAATTAATGCAAACATTTGAATCATATCATAAACTGGTAGAACACAATCATGAGCTATTTTTCCTCTATAACTGTGTTGTGACACAACATGGTAATTTAATAAATTTAGTTTACCTTTTCAGGTATTTCAAACACAAATATTATTGATATTAAAAACAATGGAGACAATTATTTATAATCATTAATACATATAAATAGGTTAACCGTTATCTGTTTTGTTATTCCTGATACTGTTTTCCTTTACATTCTTGTTTATGGAATCTGAATTTTAATGTTGCAAAGAATAAAAATCATTATAGCATTTTTGTGTTTAGATAAGTCAGGTTGAAAAGCAATAACTAGAGGATTTTGATTTAAGGACATCAGATATAACAAATTAACTGTTACAAATACATACTTAATAATTTTAATTTTTACTTTGTTGAATTACATAATACTTACTTACCATTGATACTTTTCTATTGTGTTTTAATATCATACTTTTCTTTTCTGTGTGTTACATATCAAATGTAAACACAGTTTTCATTTCATTTTTGTCTGCAGATTATGAATTATACTTTTATCTGAACCAATGCTAATATAACATATTAAATTCCTACATTTCTAAGTTTAATACAACATTTTTTAATCATTTCAACTGTATTATTTAGCCACTGAACCCATAAACAGCCAGGTTTTGCTACTGTGGCGGATGGTATGAATGATATTGCATGCTTTTATCAGTTGAATATAGTGATCTATACATTCACTGAATTTCTTACAATGCACCTTCATGAACTGTATTTAGAAGTTATTTTGATTAATTTCATTTAGAAGTTAAATATGAAGGTACAACATTTTTGAAAATTCTGTTTTGTAGAATCCAAATCTACCAACAGACAAGATATTGACACCAGTCATTGTACTATTGTCACCAAACTTTCTTAAATTTATGGAACCCCTAAGCGAAAATAGGTGGCATTTAACAATGTTTTGATTTACACCAACCTATAAGTGACACCTAACAGCAAAAGTAATATGTTAGTTTAGGTGCTATGGTCACACTAAGTAATGTTTAGTTAAGAGATGGCTTAGGAGTGGTTGGTAAAATTGGCCATTAGGTTCATATTCACAATTTAAGCTCAGGGCAAATAACTGCTTATATAGATACAAGCAAAACAATATTGATTAGGTCAGTTATCAGACTTAACAAAAATGTAGGACAACTGAGAACTGAAATGAATTTTGTATATTATGTAGATAGGAATTTTTTGTAACTTCTTATCAGAAACACCAGCAGCTTGTTTGTAGCATGTAATTCTTAATGGACTACAGTTCATTTTAAGCATTTTTCTTATCTTTTTCCTTTTTCTTTAAGATATGATACAAGCCAAATGTTGTGTTCCTCAGTAAAGTGAGATTCTTATTTATGAAGCCAAAAGAATTGAAATTGTACTAAGAATTGTTACATTATAATAGAATTTACAAGTTAGTGAACATCTTTAGGAGCTTGAATCTCTTTTACTTTCCAATTTTTATAGGACTGCTGCGCTACACTCAACATGATGCCAATTCGTCAATTCAATTTAGGAATACTTGTTTGTTAATTGATTAACTGTGTCCGTATACATATATTTATAATTGAATATTTGAAAGTGTCATATTTAAGTGAAATTTATCCCATAATCTCTGAATCATATAAACAAAAAACTAATGTCTATATTTAATCTCTAAATTTTTACTTAAATTATTATACAGGTTTACAAACAAAGATCATTATAGTAGTTTTATAGATATAAAAACAGTTCATAAAAGAAACACAGAGAATTCTAATATCACAAAGGTTTTATTATTGTTGTTTGGGAAGGTTACCTATGTATGAGTCACCACAACCAACTAAATAAATAATTAATTGATTACAGTGAAATCTTATTTTACTCATATACTACAAAGAGGCGAAATGTATGCATCAAGGAAGTGAGATTCCCTGCTGACCGAACCATACATTAGACACATAAATCGATTGTCTTTACAATAAACAAAGAAGGTGTTACATACTTCCGACATCTTCAGTATTGTAAAATTAATTACATAGAACAACACAACTTCCGACGATTCGATATCTTACCTGCCTACAAAGTTTTCTAACACCGAACTCTTTCCTGCGGACTGACCACCCACAACTGCAATTTGGGGAAGATCTAAAGACATGTGCACGCCCATTTGCACAAATGCATCTTGCAATTTGTTTACAATGGGGATTAGCTGCTGCATTCCGAAATTTCCAGCCATTTTTTCTATGATACATTAAACTTTTATCACTCAAAAACACTAATAACACTTGCTCATCATCAATTCATCATCGATAAACTAATTTATTTTTCAATATGGTGGTGGGTGGTTACGTTACGTTTCGATTCAGCTTGATTCAACTACTGTCAAAAAATTACGAAAGCGTATTGGAGTTTCTTTCAAAACATTATCTATCTCTGTTTGTTAAACGAATTCCCCCATTGAAACATGAGATGCCTATAAGTTATTCCTCAATGTTTAGCATCCTAGTCTAGAAGTTTATTTTTAACTTGTATTCTTAAAAAAATGTGATTTTATTTCTGAATTACCGAAACCTCTTAAAATAATAAAATATTTAATGCTTAATAAATTATATCGATATATTCTTTTTCATTTTCCCCACGCAACCATTGACATTTAAGCATTAGTAAATCAATACTGCTCGACATGCGCACTAAATCTAGGCCAGGATATAAAAATATGTCGACACAATATTTTCGTAGAAGATAACAATGTTTCTATGAATTTAAATCAAACACTTAGAATGTTTAAATTAACCGTAAAGAATAATTAAACGCATAAAGTTGGAAATATTAAGTTGCCAACAGTAAATATAAGGTTCCTGTAAAAGACATTTTACTACTATATTTTGGTGTGATTTTTAAATACTTTATGTAATGATGAAAGCTTAAAAACAATTTAAATTATAACAGAATGTTGGTTAAGTAAATACTTTTAACTGGAACGTAGCTTATCGATTTATTTATGTATTACCAACAATTATTTCTTTGATCTTTAGGTGCATTAAATTGCTTGTATTTTTAATTTAGGTACTTTTGTTTTTGTGGTTTTACTTCATAGCTCAAACTTACGTAATACGAAAATTTCTATTTATATAGAACAAAATAAACTTAGTTACTAAAGATCACATTAAAAGTATATTTTCTGTAGTATACAAATAGCATTTTCTTCTCGTTTCACCAAATGAGTAAAATTTTATGACTACGTTTAATTTATACGCAGTTAGCCACTTACCTGCCCACAAAGTTTTCTAACACGGAGCTCTTGCCAGCAGACTGTCCACCCACAACTGCTATTTGGGGTAAATCCAGCTGCATATGAACACCCAACTGGGTGAAAGCATCTTGTAATTTGTTAACAATTGGAATCAATTGTTCCATTCCCATATTCCCGGCCATGGCTGCCGGTTTTCTCAAACACCCCTAGTATTATGAGCTTCTCCGCAGATCCTCGCCTACTGATTTCCTTTCATCAATATGGTGCAAAGTTTTAGTGCGCAGGCGTAAATGAAGAAAATTGTGAACAGAAACGTATTTTACAAATAAATAACAAATGATAGGGTTAGAGTAGTTGTGGTATAATTTTTTTAGGTAAAACCTTGTAATAAAAAGCAATAGAAAATTATTAAAATGTATAGGTAATGATAAACTTGTTTCCATAAAAAGTTTTCGTGACAATAGTTTAGTCGATGTCCCTGTATCAACTGGGGAAACCTAAATATAAAACTTTACCTAAATAGATAAAGTTTTTTCAGATACTATTACCTACAGTATCCTGAAAGTTATTATAGAAATAATTTGTATTTGGGACATTCATAAATCATAATAAAAAATAATAATACACGTAGATATGTTTACATGAAAGGCTATATGTTAAGAAAATCAACATAATTATACTAGCTAAAATGTGTAGTAACTAAAAATAAATGTTTCTCTTCCTTATTCACATACCCCCAATTTTTTTAAGTATCCCATCAAAAAATAGTTTCGCATAGAGTTTTCTGTATACTTTGTACAGAATTAAATTTATTTTATTGGCAAACTTATCGTCAAGCTTTGGCTGTTTATCCACCAGAGAGCGTTGTGTCGCGTCTTTGTGACGTCACACTATTGATTGTAAAAAGGAAGGAGATCGTCTTTTGGAGACGCCATCTTAAAATAAAGTGATATAAGTTTTTGGTAGCGTAGATTATAGTTTAAATCTAAAGTAATCTTCTTTAAGAAATTAGCAATCGAGCTTAGATATTTTTTATTCCGTGATACCAAGTGTAACGGACCAAGGTACAGATGTATTTTGATTTTATTGTTTTCTAGAAAGATAAAAATTAGTTTATTTACCGTTCTTTTCTTCGATCTTGTTAGTACCGTTATTTTGAGCTAGATAGTAGAAAGTTATAAAAGTATAACGGATAGTATAGTGCATTTAAAAACGTAAGTGAAATTATTGAAGTCATCGATCCAGCGTACATCAGACGGATGTAACACGTCAATAAACCTTTGAGGGCAGGGCTCCAATTTATTGTTCAGTGCTGTGAAAGTGTTCTGTGCATTAGTGAATGTAATAGATTGTGTGAATTTTACATACTGTTTTGTTGAATATATCAAATCATTACTAGCAATATTACATTCTATTGCATTGAAGGACGATTGTCTTTGGTAGTTGCCTGTGAAACAGTGAGTTGCGTTTGGATTGTGGCCATTACGTTACAGTGAGGGTTTGGCGAATTGCAGTTGGTGGTCGGTGCGAGGGTGACCTCCTGATGGTGTGTACATCGCAGCATGTCTGCACTCTCGACGCCGGGCGGCGGAGGCACTACGGCGCAGAGCAAGCCGACGTCCGGCAAGCAAAGATATCAGAAGTTGGACATCAATAGCTTGTACTGCGCTAACAGAGTATGTAGTTTTCTTTTTATACTTTACTTTCGTGATATTCATACGCCCACCAAGGCAATATCAATGACCTGATCATAATGTAACTTTAATTTGTTGCATTAAATTACGACAGATCAATATTTTAATGGCTTTATGTCGCTATCAATTAGTGCTATCGTTGTTTTAATATTGTGTCAAATTATAACAAATTGTGTTAATATAAGTTTCTCTCAGCCAAGATCATTGTTAACAAAATGCAAGCTAGTTATACCATACAACAATTGTAATCAAGTCACAGTTGAATAAGTTGACCTTCAGTTCCCTTGTGCATATCTAGTTGCAACAGTAGAATAGACAATGGCCTTGTTTCAGAGATTTTTGATCAAAGAAAATGAGGTATTTAAATTATCTGTTGTAAAAGGTTATACAATTTTTTCTATGTGCCTAATCTGTGACTAATTTATTTCCTACTTTGTGAGAAAATTGTGAAATACCTGTTCTTATAATAATTTTATTTTAATATTTCTTTGTTTCAATCCATTGTAGAACGAGAACTCAGAACCGTCCTCAGTAAAATCTCAACTAAGCCGCAAACATGGAATGCAAAGTCTTGGAAAAGTACCTTCAGCTAGGCGTCCACCTGCCAACTTGCCTTCTTTGAAAACTGAAACTGGTCAAGATCCTAATATAAAGTAAGTAATGCCTTAACCTTCATGTATTGAGTCAGTGGTTTTAGGCCAAGACTCTTATTGGGAAAATAAATGTTTACAGACATTAAATGATTTTCTTTATTTCTATTCTAATGCTAAGTGGGCATCTTGCCACCTCAACATTCCTGTGCAAAAATACCAAACAACTAGAGAAATGACAAGCTTTCTGTGGGAGTAACCTTAACCTCACATAACATATGTAGAGGTGAATGATTCAGTGATGAGTTCTTTGACCTATTGACATGTACTTACTGAAGCAATAAATTTATTTTCAGCTCTATTTCTGCTGTTGCTACTACTGTATCTACAACTTCAGCATGTACTTCCCAAACTACAGTAAGTAATTTAAGTAACAAATGTTTTACATTTTGCTTTGAATTTCAACAAAAGGATTGTTTCCTCAGTTGGCTTAACATTGTTATTTATTCTCTTATTACTCTTATAGATTATAGAGGTTATTGACTGCTGCAATGCAATTGATGCCAGATGTTCATTCAATTCAATTTTTTAATAAATCAATGTATATTTTAACTAACTAAATAAGGGTGATGCCTGAAGTTCATTTATTACTATAAAATGTGTATGTGTAAGTGTTTTTCCACAGTCCACAACATCGAACAGCAGTGTGGTTGCTGGGACTGGAGCCGGAGGATGGGTGGCACTCCCACCACCGTCCTCCCCACACTTCCGCACAGAGTTCCCCTCACTAGAGGCAGCTGCTCAACCTTCACATCGCTCATCAGAACATACAGCACCACAACCACAATTGAGACCACAAAGTAAGTAATTTTACATTTTGAAATAAAATGAGGGTATCAATAAAATTTTAAAACTGTCACATTAATTTTAGTCTGAATATATTTTTTACTGATACTGAATAAATGTAGAGTTCAATCTCTCGGTGTGAATCATTATATCCACCCTTACCATTGACATTACGTTGTTACAGCGGAAGGCAGCTGGACGTGCGGTGGTACGGCGGGGGTCCGCCAGGAAGCCACATCCGCCGCCGCCGCACCCGTCTCCGCTCCTGCCTCACAACAGAGTCCTGCCTGCCTCCCAAGATCTATTCTGCCATCTTTCGTATGTTATCATTTTTTATGTTTTAAATGTTAAGTGGCTTTTTATTATTAATTTTAAAATATGTTGCCTTGTTCAAAGATGAAAGGTAGCAGTGGTGGCGGGCTCGGGCTGGGCACGCTGGGCGCTTTGCGCGACATCCGGGGCGGCAACAGCGGCGCTGGCAGCGCGGGCGGCGGTGCGGGCGCCAGCGCCGCGCCGCGCCAGGCGCCGCGCGCGCCGGCCACTCCGCGAGCCGTCGAGGTGCTCACTGCACGCCCGATCCTGCGTGACGATCAGATCTCTTCTCTTGATGATATTTCTCGAGATGCTGGCTGGGCGCAGCAAGACGATATCGATTATGAGTAAGTCTCACCCGAAATTATTTATAGTTTCTTGAAAATTCCTCATAGCTGGAATCAGTAATCATTGTGGCAAAAGGCTCACTTCCTAACTCCTATTAAATTTCACGACTGCCTCGTTGGCCGAGTGGTCGTAAGTGCCAGTGGTCTCGGGTTCGATTCCCGGGTCGGGCAAAGTATTACAGGGTTTTTAAATATTCTCAGTAGTAGCACGGAGTCTGGAATTGTGCCCGGTATATGGCAATAGGCTCACCCCCTATTACATGGGACTCATAACATAAATAGTGAAAAGTGGGTGTTACATTGTACAGTGATATAATGTGCACCTCTGCCTACCCCTTCGGGGATAAAAGGCGCGATGTTATGTTATTATGTTTCACAAAATAGTTGGTGAATCTCTGCTAGCTACTCTTTGGAGATTAAACGGCGTGACGTTATGTTATTATAGTTTTTAATTGTATTGCATGTCTCATTACAGTCAGAAGCTGGACTTCTCGGATGGTGAATCTTCCGCTCCTAATAAGGGACATAATAGAGGTAACCGCGCCAGTGTTGACAGTGAACGTGTTGATATGAAGCTTCATGAACCTGGTGACGAAGATCAACTTTGGGCGGAGCGGCGCCAAAAACAGAGCAACGAAGTGGCCCAGGCAGTCGCTCGAGCTCGACAGCGCAAAGAGGAAGAACAGAGGCGTCAACATCGGGATGCACCTGCGTCCATGCAGTCCAAAGAGACGCGCGACCGACCCGATAGGATGCCTGACCGAGACCGCAATGACAATAGGGATAGGGATAGGGAACAAGAAGGGAGAGAAAAGGACAGAGGTGATATCAGGGACCGAGAACGTGCCGAAAATAGAGATCGTATAGATAATAGAGACAAGGACCGTAATGATGTACGCGAACGAGAGAAAGATCGTGTAGAAAGCAGAGAACGTGACCGTATTGAAAACAGAGACCGCTACGATAATCGAGACAGGGATCGGGATGTTAGAGACCGTGAGCGAGACCGCGAACGCGACCGTGACCGGGATCGTGAACGGGACCGCGACCGTGATCGGGAACGTGACAGGGATCGCGACCGTGAACGGGACAGATTAGAAAGAGGTCGCGTGGAAAATAGAGATCGTCCAGAGAGTGATAAAGAAAGAAGTGAACCGAGAGATCGTAATGAGAATAGAGATCGTAACGATAACAGAGATCGCAACGATAATAGAGACCGCAATGATAACCGAGATCGCCTGGACCGTGATAGATTTGACAGGGAACGAGATCGATCCGACAGAGACCGCGACCGGGACCGCGGTGATAGAGATCGAAATGATCGTGAAAGGGATAGAGATCGAGAACGAGATTTTAGAGAGAGAGACCGTGACTATGGTCGCGATCGTGACCG